CTACGTCGGCGGCCAGCTCGCGCAGCTAGTGTGGCTGTACGTCCGCTATTTTGGCTTGCCGATACGCCCGTTGCTGGATCGTGTGAGCCGTCTTGCGGAGCAGAGGCGTGAGTTCATCAGGAAGCCGGCGCAGAGGCAAGCTGGGACGCAGAGGCAAGCAGAGGCGAGGAGGCAGGAGGCGAAGCTGCGGCGGCGGGGCCGCCGGCAGGCGCAGCAGGAGGAGGCGGCGGAGGCGGAGAGTCGGCGGCGGGAGGCGGAGGCGGAGCGGGAGAGGAGGAGGGAGAAGGAGGAGGCGAGGAGGAGGAGGCAGCGGCTGCAGGAGGAGGAGGCAGCGGCGAGGAGGAGGAGGCAGGAGGGGGAGGAGCGGCGGGCAGAGGTGCGGGCCTTCGAGTCCAGATGGGAACCTTCTAGGAACCTTCTAGGAACCTTCCAGGAACCTTCTAGGCGCGGGCCTTCGAGGCCAAGCTTCAACGCGTGTGCGATACAATCGGGTCGGAGGCGGCGGAGGCGGCGGTGGCGGAGGAGGAGGCAGAGAGAGCGAGGGCGGCGGCTGCGGCGGCGGCAGAGGAAACGGAGGCGGCGGAGGCGGCGGAAGCAGCAGAGGCCGCGGAGGCAGCAGAGGCGGCGGAGGCGGCGGAGGCGGAGGCTGCGGCAGCTTCGGGCGCGGCGCCAGGCCCTCCGCAAGCCGCGCCGAGCGGTCCTGCCCCGCCGGCTGCGGCGGTGTCGCTGGCCGACGCTCGCTTCGACACGGGCCGCCGCCCGGCAGTGCCAGAGTCGACGCTTGGCGGAGACACGACGTGCATCGTCTGCTTCACGCACCCGAAGACGCACGTCGCGGTCCCGTGCAACCACCGCTGCTCCTGCGGCCCGTGCTCCGCGCGGATGTCAGAGTGCCCGTACTGCCGCGAGCCAGTGATAGTGTGGGTGGATTCCTCGCGCATCCGTGATGTGTAGCAGCACAGAGGCAAACGCGGCGCGCCCACACTCCGCATGTTGGCAGGCCGCTTCTTATTAGCTAAACTAGTGCCTGGACTCCCCGTTTTTGTAGCTTGTCGGTCGATTGATTGATAGGAAGGTGATAGGAGTAATCGAGATCTCTGCGAGAGAGTAGTAGATCGCAGACAGTAGATCGCAGACCAGGAGTGGAGATCCTAGCCGATTCTACCGCACAGTCGGGCTTGGTTGAAGATGGAAGATTGAGATCACAGATTGTGGATCGTGTTGGCAGTTGCCAGGGTCAAAGGTGGAGATTGGAGATGGAAAACACAGATCGCAGATCCTCGCGCCGGGCATCCATCACTGGGGCGGAGATTGGAGATCGAGATTGGAGATTGGAGATCGCAGCTGGCGGCGGCAGGGGTCAAATGGGAGATTGGAGATCAGAGATTGGAGATGTGCGGTGTGAATGAATCCATAGCGCATCTCCTTGAAGGCTCGAGCCCCCCCCCTCCCCCGCCCCCCCGAATCGAGATTGGAGATTGGAGATTGGAGATGGAGATCGGAGATCTGAACTGGATCCGGCAAAATATGACGCTGGAGATTGGAGATTGGAGATAGAGATTGGAGATCTGACTGGATCCGGCCTAAGATGTGTCGACGCTGGAGATTGGAGATTGGAGATTGGAGATTGGAGATCACAGAGGCCGCTGTGATGATCTTTTTGTTTTTTAAAGGTTACTGGTGCGCGGACGGCCCGGGGAGCCTGCGGCGCCATTTTAATCTGCGCTCCTCTTTATGGCCTGCGGCGCCTGGCTTGAGCTAGGAAGTGTAAACGAGTCCGCCAGGGCGGTATGCAAACACGGAGCGCGCTGCGCGCGCGGTCTATGTACGCCGAACTGGGGGCGTTATCGTGTGGTTCGCGCTGCCATCAACAAATAATTTTGTGTGAGGGGGGGGGAGGGGGGGGGGGGGGGACGCCTCATTCATGTGGCACGTTGTGGCAGAAGATGTGCTTCGAGCGAGCGAGAAAGACGAAGGCCTACACAGGCAGATTTGCACATGCACATGTGACAAGGGGGCAACGCGTGCAGGGCGAGAGGGCGGCTCGACACGCCTGCTCCGCGGCCTCCGTGTTGGTGCTCGGAACGAAATGTAGAGGGCCCTCCTTGGTGTGCACGAGATGCTTGTACAACCCGCCAAGGCCTCCCTCCGTGTCGAGCCGGTCAATCAGCACGCCGACGTCAGAGGAGCAGAGTGCCGACCCGGCGGGCAGCCGCTCATGGACGCGACGGGCACGCTCAGGCACGCCAGGTGGGAAGTGGTGCATGCCGCTCAGGAGCGCCACGAGCTCCTCCTCGGTCTTTAGAGGATACAGGTTCGCGGCGAACTCGGTCATGCCAGAGACTAACGAGGTGAGCTCCATCGCGGCGCGCTCATAACAAGGAGGCGCGTTCTCCGATCTTCATCTCCAATCTCCAATCTCGTGGGGGAGGCGTGTGCGCGTGTCAGGGGGGGGATCGAAGTCCTTCCAAGGGGATGCTCTTTTCCTTTCACACCTTCAAGCGGATCTCCACCCTCTTTTCGCGCCATTTTGCAATCTCCAGTCGGCCACACGATTCTTGAGGCGCCTTTGGCGCGAAGTCAACATCTCCGTCTCCGGCCTGAGATCTCGAGGTGCCGATGGCGGCAGCTCAAGATCTCTATCTTCAGTTAAAGATCTCTGAGTTTTGTGAGAGATGCTGTGTGTGGAAGATCTCTGATCGGCATCTACGATCTCCACTCAACAAATCTACTGGTGTCCCGCAGAGATCTCGATGTATGGGTGATAGTGCCAGTGAGCAGTGTGCAGTGGCGCGGATTGACGCTATGTGCCCACAGTGTGGCCGAGATCACAGGGCACGAGTGTGTGACTGCCGGCCGAGGTCAGCCGAGATGAGCAAGGTGCCGAGACTAAAGCCGAGACAAGCGGTGTGATTAGTGAGATTCGGATTGCAAGGCTCGGCCCTAGGCGAGATTTGGACAATAAGCAAGATCGGACCTCCGCCAAGCTCCGCCGAGATCCTCCGACCGCCGAGGTTGTCCGACCGAGATCGACCGAGGTCGAGATAAAGGGATATACAGTGTCAAGTCGTGGAGTGATCGACGGGTGCCGAGATGGGGAGACCGGCTCGTTGGTGTGACAGTGAGCGACACAATCGTCGGCGCCGCGCTTACCTTATCGCGGCGCCCCGCAGTCTACACGCCTCAGGCGCACCCCTGAACGCGCCATGAGCGCGCAGGCACATAGCAGCGCCGCGCCAAAAGGTCATTCCCTCACCCGACCCGCGGCTCCACAGGCTGCAGCGGTCCGCTCACCTGCACAGGGCAAAAACGTGTAGCTTAACAGACTAGTTGTGACGATCAGTGCTGGCGGAGGCCTCATCGCCGCGAATGTTGCCAGTCGCGGCGGGATCTGACGTCGCGTTCGAGGTGTGCATTGGCGGACGTCGCGTTCGAGGTGTGCATTGGCGGAGGGGTCGCATGGCTGAGAGAGGCAGAGGCAGCAGGCGGGTGGTGGGGCGGCACCTGTTGCTGCCATGGGCAGCGCCGAGCCGCGGCGGAGTCGCTCCGTAGGTCCGCGTTGAGCCGCACGAGTGCGCCGACCCGTCGCGAGGTGCCTGCGCGGGGGTGATGTCGCGCCGATGGCTGAGTACACGCGGCCGTGAGCGGCTTTGCGCGGAGAGGCGGCGCGCAGGAGGCAAGGGTGGGCGCGCCGGCGGTCGAGCCACCGAACAATTCGACGTGGCGCAGCTCCGCGCTGGCGAGTACGACCGAGCTCATGATGTCGTCGGCGGTCACGCGACGAGCGAGAGCCGCAGGAGCCCTCTGAAAACCAGGCGCGCAAAGGCGTCCGGTGAGCAATGCGCGCGAACAGCCACCTGTGGGCGGTCACCGGGGGTGGCGGTCAAGCACGCTCCGGGGTGGATCTGGTGCTTCTAGTATCACTGGTGGGCTGGGTGTGCAGCAGCAGCGCTCAAAAGGAGGCAAAACACGCGGCTGCTACTTTGAGTGTCAGCTTTCTCGACGCACCGTGCTCGGCCCCGCTGAAAAGCTGGCTGGTGGTCGCGCGCGGCGCGTCGGCGCGGCTCCGACTGGTCGGGCACCTCGGCTGGGTCCATCAGCACGAGGCCTGCCCCGTCGGGCAGCCCCGCGAGCGCATGTAGCCCGCCCCCAGACGCTGTAACCCGCCCCCAGATCGCGCTGGTTGGTAGGAAAAGACGAGGCGACCCGAGGGGGGGTCCGAATAAGATACATCATAGCGCGGGGGGCGGGGAGAACAACGTACGACGCCGCGCGCAAGCAAGCTGCCCACCCAGGCGAGCACGGAGCCAGAACAGACCTGCACTTGGAGCACTTGGAGCGCAGTCGGCAACCTCACACACCCAGGGCCGGGGAGCTAAGAAGCGCACCCAGAGGCCATAAAGTCAACACGGGTCTCCGAGGGTTAGTCCGCGCTTTGGGGTTCCCCTAGCGGGGGAGCGCCCGAGCACCCCCTCTACTCGGAGCTAATACACACCCGACTCGAACACGACGTACCCTCTCTCACCCGACCTCTCCGCTCCATACCCCGGGCGCGCACGCCTCACCCCCACTCACTCTAGGAGAGAGAGCCCCCGACCCCTCTTGCTTGGTCTGCTCTCCCGTTCGTTCGCTTTCCGCTGGTTCGGCAACGGGTGTGGGGCGCCGGCCTTCCCCTCTTGTGCTTCCTGACTGCCGTCGCACTTGGAGCACTTGGAGTGCGATCGGCAGCCTCACATCCAGGGCCGGGGCGTCGGTGACGACGACCTGCCAGCCGCCCACGTCCAAAGTCTCGGAGCTGGGCGGCGGCCCGGCGTCGCTCGGCAGCGGCGCAGAAGGCGTCGAGGCGGGCACCATCAACGGCAAAAGAATTTTACTCAGACTGCCTCGCACGACATTGGGCACGGGACTGGCGCGCACTGGCACTAACACCGGTACACCAAAAAAAATTGCAACAAAACTCCCTCGCACGACACTGGGCACGTAATTGATTGAACAGTCTCTCATGCGCCTGACGATCCCGCCGCAGCGCCGTGCCCAAAGTCGCCCTCGAACTCCTCGCGGTCGCGCTTGCGCGCCGCGCCGTCCGGGCCGTAAGAGCCGAGCCTGATGTTGGCCCGCTCTAGCCAGCCAAGAAGGCCAGCCTTGTGCTCGAGAGCGAAGCGCTTAAAGGCAAGAGTCCGATCCACGGCATCGTACCAGCGCATCTTTGCGGGCGAGAGGCGGAAGACGGCGGTCTCAGGTTCGAAAGCCTCGTCGCCGATCGTGGCAGTGTCTGGCACGGTGACGCGGGTCAGGGAGGAGCAGAGGGCGAAGGCGAGGCTGCCGATCGAGGTGAGGCCAGCGGGGAAGGTGACGCGGGCGAGGGAGGAGCAGTTCCAGAAGGCGCTGTCGATGGAGGTGAGGCCGGCAGGGAAGGTGACGGTGGTGAGGGAAGAGCAGCGGTCGAAGGCGCTGTCGCCGATGGAGGTGAGGGTGGCGGGGAAGGTGACGCGGGTCAGGGAGGAGCAGTCGTAGAAGGCGCCGGTGCCGATGGAGGTGAGGCCGGTGGGGAAGGTGACGCTGGTGAGGGAGGAGCAGCCGCGGAAGGCGTCGTCGCCGATGGAGGTGAGGCCGGCGGGGAGGGTGACGGAGGTGAGGGAGGAGCAGCCGCAGAAGGCGCTGCTCCAGATGGTGGTAAGGCCGGCGGGGAAAGTGACGCGGGCGAGGGAGGAGCAGCCCAAGAAGGCGCTGTTACCGATGGAGGTGAGGCCGGCGGGGAGGGTGACGGAGGTGAGGGAGGAGCAGCCGCAGAAGGCGCTGCTCCAGATGGAGGTAAGGCCGGCGGGGAAAGTGACGCGGGCGAGGGAGGAGCAGCCGTAAAAGGCGCTGTCGCCGATGGAGACGAGGCCGGCGGGGAAGGTGACGGAGACGAGGGAGGAGCACTCGGAGAAGGCGATGCTGGGTATGGTGGTGATGCCCTCCGGCACAGTGGCATGCCCCTGCGCGTCGATTCGAGGCCGCACCGCCCAAACGTTGATGGCCCGCACTGCTGCCTTCGCCTCGTCGTCAAGGGGGCAGTCGAAGAAGGACCAGTCGCCAATCGAGAGGCCATCGGGCAGCGGCAGCGTGACGGAGGCGAGGGAGGAGCAGTCGTAGAAGGCGGCTTCGCCGATGGAGGTGAGGCCGGCGGGGAGGTCGATGGAGACGAGCGAGGAACAGCCGTAGAAGGCTCCGTCGCCGATGGCGACGAGGCTGCGCGGGCAGGCGACCGAGACGAGAGAGGTGCGGCCGCGAAACGCCCGGTCCGGCAGGTGCGTCATGCCTTCGGGCAGCACCGCGAGGAGGAGGACGGTGGTGGCGGTAGGGAAGGCGAGGGGGCTGATGGTGGCGGTGGCTGGCACGGTGACGCTGGTGAGCGGGCAATCGCGGAAGGCGTAGTCGCCGATGGAGGTGAGGCTGGCGGGGAAGGTGACGGAGGAGAGGGAGGAGCAGCGGAGGAAGGCGCTGCTGCCGATGGAGGTGAGGCCGGCGGGGAAGGTGACGGAGCCGAGGGAGGAGCAGTCGGCGAAGGCGCCCTGGCCAATGGAGGTGAGGCTGGCGGGGAGGTCGATGGAGACGAGCGAGGAGCAGAAGCGGAATGCTGCGTCGCCGATGGAGACGAGGCCAGCGGGGAGGGTGACGGAGGAGAGGGCGGGGCAGCCGTCGAAGGCGCTGTTACCGATGGAAGTGAGGCTGGCGGGGAGGGTGGCGGTGGTGAGGGAGGAGCAGCTGGCGAAGGCGCTGACGCCGATGGAGGTAAGGCAGGCGGGGAGGGTGACGCTGGCGAGGGCGGAGCAGCCGGAGAAGGCGCGGCTGCTGATGGAGGTAAGGCCGGCGGGGAGGGTGACGGTGGTGAGGGAGGAGCAGCCCTCGAAGGCGCTGTTACCGACGGAGGTGAGGCCGTCAGGGAGGGTGACGGTGGCGAGGGAGGAGCAGTCGGCGAAGGCGTCGTCGCCGATGGAGGTGAGGCCAGCGGGGAAGGTGACGGAGGAGAGAGAGGAGCAGCGTTCGAAGGCGCTGTTACCGACGGAGGTGAGGCCAGCGGGGAGGGTGACGCGGGCGAGGGAGGAACAGAGGAGGAAGGCGCAGCTGCCGATGGAGGTGAGGCCGGCGGGGAGGGTGACGGAGGAGAGGGCGGAGCAATCTTGGAAGGCGTAGCTGCCGATGGAGACGAGGCCAGCGGGGAAGGTGACGCGGGCGAGGGAGGAGCAGCCGACGAAGGCGTAGCCGCCGATGGAGGTGAGGCCGGCGGGGAAGGTGACGGTGGTGAGGGCGGAGCAGCCGCGGAAGGCAGCGTTGCCGACGGAGGTGAGGCTGGCGGGGAGGGAGACGGAGCCGAGGGAGGAGCAGCCGTGGAAGGCGCCCTCGATGGTGGTGACGCCCTCCGGCACAGTGGCATGCCCCTGCGCGTCAATTGGAGGCCGCACCGCCCAAACGTTGATGGCCTGCACTGCTGCCTTCGCTTCGTCGTCGAGGGGGCAGTCGACGAAGGCTCTGTCGCCAATCGAGAGGCCATCGGGCAGCGGCAGCGTGATGGTGGTGAGGGCGGAGCAGTCGCGGAAGGCGTCGCTGCCGATGGAGGTGACGGCTGTGGGGAGGGTGATCGAGACGAGGGCGGAGCACTCGCAGAAGGCGCCCTCGCCGATGGAGGTGAGGGCTGTGGGGAGAATGATGGTGGAGAGAGAGGAGCAGCCGAAGAAGGCTTGCTCGCCAATGGAGGTGAGGGTGGCAGGGAAGGTGACGGAGACGAGCGAGGAACAGAGGAGGAAGGCGAAGCTGCCGATGGAGGTGAGGGTGGCGGGAAGGGTGACGGTGGTGAGGGCGGAACAGTCGCGGAAGGCATAGTTTCCCATGGAGGTGAGGCCGGCGGGTAGGTCGATGGAGACGAGCGAGGAACAGCCGAAGAAGGCTCCGTCGCCGATGGCGACGAGGCTGCGCGGGCAGGCGACCGAGACGAGAGAGGTGCGGCCGCGAAACGCCCGGTCCGGCAGGTGCGTCATGCCTTCGGGCAGCACCGCGAGGAGGAGGACGGTGGTGGCGGTAGGGAAGGCGAGGGGGCTGATGGTGGCGGTGGCTGGCACGGTGACGCTGGTGAGCGGGCAATCGCGGAAGGCGTAGTCGCCGATGGAGGTGAGGCTGGCGGGGAGGTCTATGGAGACGAGCGAGGCGCAGCGAGCGAAGGCGTACTCGCCGATGGAGGTGAGGCTGGCGGGGAGGGAGACGGAGCCGAGGGAGGAGCAGCCGTGGAAGGCGCCCTCGATGGTGGTGACGCCCTCCGGCACAGTGGCATGCCCCTGCGCGTCAATTGGAGGCCGCACCGCCCAAACGTTGATGGCCTGCACTGCTGCCTTCGCTTCGTCGTCGAGGGGGCAGTCGACGAAGGCTCTGTCGCCAATCGAGAGGCCATCGGGCAGCGGCAGCGTGATGGTGGTGAGGGCGGAGCAGTCGCGGAAGGCGTCGCTGCCGATGGAGGTGACGGCTGTGGGGAGGGTGATCGAGACGAGGGCGGAGCACTCGCAGAAGGCGCCCTCGCCGATGGAGGTGAGGGCTGTGGGGAGAATGATGGTGGAGAGAGAGGAGCAGCCGAAGAAGGCTTGCTCGCCAATGGAGGTGAGGGTGGCAGGGAAGGTGACGGAGACGAGCGAGGAACAGAGGAGGAAGGCGAAGCTGCCGATGGAGGTGAGGGTGGCGGGAAGGGTGACGGTGGTGAGGGCGGAACAGTCGCGGAAGGCATAGTTTCCCATGGAGGTGAGGCCGGCGGGTAGGTCGATGGAGACGAGCGAGGAACAGCCGAAGAAGGCTCCGTCGCCGATGGCGACGAGGCTGCGCGGGCAGGCGACCGAGACGAGAGAGGTGCGGCCGCGAAACGCCCGGTCCGGCAGGTGCGTCATGCCTTCGGGCAGCACCGCGAGGAGGAGGACGGTGGTGGCGGTAGGGAAGGCGAGGGGGCTGATGGTGGCGGTGGCTGGCACGGTGACGCTGGTGAGCGGGCAATCGCGGAAGGCGTAGTCGCCGATGGAGGTGAGGCTGGCGGGGAGGTCTATGGAGACGAGCGAGGCGCAGCGAGCGAAGGCGTACTCGCCGATGGAGGTGAGGCTGCGCGGGAAGGCAACCGAGACGAGAGAGGAGCGGTTGAAGAACGCGTCGTCCGGCAGGTGCGTCATGCCGTCGGGCAGCACCGCGTGCCCGTCGGCGACGACGACCTGCCAGCCGCCCACGTCCAAAGTCTCGGAGCCGGGCGGCGGCGCGGCGTCGCTCGGCGGCGGCGCAGCGGGCGAGGCGGGCAGCATCGTGAACAAAGAAAACAACCGCGTTTACTAGTGGTCAGGGCTCTCTTGCCCGAGGGCGGAGCTGCGCCGAAAGGCGAAAGAAGCCGAGAGAACAAGGGAACGGCAGGCGGCGGCGGCGCAGGACGAGGCAGAAGAGAATGACGCGACAGAGGAGGAAGTGACAAGGGAGAGAACGACGAGAGTGGGACGGCCGCGAGGTGGCATGAAGGTTGCAGCGAGAAGCGGCGAGAGACTGCGAAAAGAGATAGGAAGAGGCAGACTCCCTAGGGTGGGCGACGGCTAGCGCATCACACTCCTCTCCTTAAAATCCCTGTGTGGTGGCGGCGTGCCGTCCTCCCATCCCTCCCTTGGGTTGTCTGTTTTCTTTCTTTCTTTTTCGGCTCTCTTGCCCGAAGCCCGATACCGATCATCCGGCCCGCTGGGTGCGCTTCTTAGCTCCCCGGCCTTGGGTGTGAGGTTGATTACTGCACTCCAAGTGCTCCAAATTCAAGTCTCTCCAAGTGCTCTCTCTCACAGCAGACAGGCTGCTCGACACAGGTGCGAACTGGCGCGTGCTAGCACTATCACAGGCACACCACCGAAAAAGAATTTTAGTAGCCTTTTGAAACCTCGGATATCCCGCCATATCCCGCCGCGGATACCGCGAAAAGAATCGGCCAGACTAGGGCTACCCCCTACTCGGAGCTAATACACACCCGACTCGAACACGACGTACCCTCTCTCACCCGACCACTCCGCTCCATACCCCGGGCGCGCACGCCTCACCCCCACTCACTCTAGGAGAGCCCCCGACCCCTCTTGCTTCGGGTCTGCTCTCCCGTTCGTTCGCTTTCCGCTGGTTCGGCAACGGGTGTGGGGCGCCCGCCTTCCCCTCTTGTGCTTCCTGACTGCCGTCGCACTTGGAGCACTTGGAGTGCGATCGGCAGCCTCACATCCAGGGCCGCCGCCCCATTTTCTTCTCGTCTCTCGCCATCACAGAAGCGCTCTGCCGCCTGCGCTCAGCCTCATGGCGAAAGAGGCGCGCGCTGCGCCTCTCCTCTCGCCCTTACCCCGCCGTGCCCCCGCGCTGCTGCACACCGCGATTCAGAGACGCCACCGCTCCACTGCGCCGCGGACCAGACTCTCGCACTCTCGCGCCGCATGGGCGACGGCAGCGCCGATCTCTGAACGCGCTCCCGCAATGTGCCCGCAGGGTGGCTTTGTCTACACGCGCGAGGAGATGCTCGAGGTGTACAAGCAGGGCCGATTCAAGGAGCACGAGTTCACCGACCGCTTCTCCCACGTCCCCAACGTGACGACGGCAGAGTTTGTCATCCCGCTCGCGCTGCTGCCGATGTCGGACGAGGAGGCCAAGCTGCGCGCGCACCCGATCGCGCCGCCGATGCGCGAGGGCGGCCGCGGGGGCGGCCGAGGCTTCGACCGCGAGGGGCGCGGCAAGGGCAAGGGCCGCGGCGGCAAGGGCGAGCGCGGCGAGCGCAGCGAGACCAACAACTGGGGGCCGCGCAACTCGCGCGGCGGCGACGGCGGCGACGGCGAGGAGCGGCAGCACGTGCGCGCGTCGGGCGAGCGACCGTCGGGCGGCGCGGCGGCGGCGTCGGCGGCGGCGGGCGAGATCGGCGGGCTGCCCGCGCCGCTGCTCGCGCCGCCGCCGCCCAAGGAGTGGTTTTACCGCGATTTGGAGGGTGTTGTGCAGGGCCCGTTCACCGAGGAGCAAATCTCAGAGTGGCACCGCTCAAAGTACCTGCCGGCGAACCTTCCGATGCGGAGCTCGGACGACCCGCCGGACAGCTACACGCCGCTCTCCGAGATGGGCAGCCAGCCCC